ATCATCTTCTTATTTTTGTCAAACTTCTTTGGTTTTTCAACCTGCAAGGAAACGGTGCAACATTAGTTTTAGTATTAGTAGGTGTATTGAAAGTTACCTTGTTTGATGTTTCAGTGGCGGCTTGCTCTATTTCTTTCTCAATGTATTCCTCATTCTTGTCCTTTGGAACTCCAATCTTTGATACGTCCGAATCTTTTCCATTTTGTATAACAATCGAGCTCACATTCCTCGGTTGGCCATCGGGTTGTGAGGGCAATCTGTCTTTTTCTCTTGACTTCATCTCGCACATCTCATTGGCTATTTGATTTACTTGTTCTTCCAAGTTCCTTATGTTATTCCGAGTTTCTTGTTGAAATTGCAACATGTTAGATTCCATAGTTTTTAGGATATCCTCTAAGGAATTATTCGGAACTGTTTGAGGGGGTTGTGGAGGGTGGTTAGGTGCTGGGAATCCTCTCGGATAATCTCCAAAGTTATCTTGTTGATTCTCATACTTTAAGTTTCGGTGATTTTTCCATCCTGGATTGGAGGAATTCGAGTAGTGGTTGTATGCTCTTGGGATGAATCATGCAGCACTGACATCTACTTCTTGACTCAAAGTAGGACAAATATCAGTAGGATGTTCCGAACTTGTGCAGATTCCGCAAGCCTTAACTTGTGCCTTCCTTTAAACAAATTGTCGAACAAATGAAGTCAGTTCAGTCAATTATTGTTGAATAGAACTCACCTCGTTTGCTTGTTTAGTTGCTACTACTTCTCTTTGTCCGAACTTTTGTGAGTTCATCGCCATATTGTTCAGTAAGTCTCACGCCTCTCTAGGAGTTTTGTTCATCAAGGCCCCTCCACTTGCTGCGTCTATGATTCTCCTGTCGATGGAAGTCAAACTTTCATAGAAATGTTGAATCAGTAACTGCACGGGGATTTGATGATGGGGACATCAAATAAGTAGAGCATTAAAGTGGTTCCAATATTCAAATAAAGACTCCTTCTTGTTGTGTCATTCTGCATCTCTCTTTTCTCATGATCGCAGCTCGTGAAGCGGGAAAATACTTTTTGAGAAACTTTCTCTTTATGTCAATCCATGTAGTGACGCTTCCGGAAAATGGATTGAATAGCCAATCTTTTGCAGCGTCCTTCGGTGATAAGGGAAAAGCACGAAGCTTTATTTGATCTTCTGTTACTCCTTGTGGCTTCATACTTGTGCAAACGACATCAAATTCTTGAAGATGCTTATGTGACTCTTTTTCTGACAACCCATGAAAAGAAGGCAACAAGTGTATTAGTCCTGATTTTAATTCAAAAACACTGTTACCGTCTACCATCGGGTATGTTATGCAGAGATGCTGTTGAGTCAAGTTAGGAGCTGCCAACTCCCTTAGTGTCCTTTGATCCATATCTTCTTCTAGCTCTAACTCGTCAGAACTCAAATCGCTAAATGATTCTAAAGCTAAATCTTTTTAATTCAAAAGCACTATTACCGTCTACCATCGAGTATGTTATGCAGAGATGCTGCTGAGTCAAATTAGGAGCTGCCAACTCCCATAGTATCCTTTGATCCATCTCTTCTTCTAACTCTAACTCGTCAGAACTCAAATCGCTAGATGATTCTAAAGCTAAATCTTTTTAGCGACGCTCCCAACTTTCTTTTCTTAATCAATACGCAGTCTTCTCAATCTCAGGGTCCAAAATCAAGTTACATGTGTGATCAGATCTCGACATAAACTAGAAAAAGTCAAATTTTTTAAAAATAATATAAAACAACCAAAGATAAATTGAACCAATTAGAATTCCCCCGCAACGGAGCTAATATTTGAGAGGCGTTCTTCACACTCTGCAAAATTTAAATAAAATAAACCTACTTCTACAATAAAAATAACGTTGTATAGATGAAGTATGGTCGTCTCCTAAGATAATTAAAAATATTTTATTTTCGATTGTTTAATTTATAAATATAATAAAATGGGAGATTTTTTTAAGTAGGAAATAAAAATAAAATAACAAACTAAAAACTCTACGGTCACAAGTCCAACCCCTATACCATTAGGTTATCCCTTACGGGAAAACTTTATTGTTTATTTGATTGTATTAAAAGTTGGACTAGAATTTTAAATAATAAAATTTTAAAAAAAATTAATATAATATAAATAGATGTTATATAATTTTTAAAATCTTAAATTAGTTTTTAATGAAATATAAAAATATCTAATGTTTGATTTGGTAATATATTATTGAAAAATTAGTTAATTGTGAAATTTGACTTTTAATTTATTTTTCCTTTGTTAAAAATGATAAAATAAAAAATGTTTATTTATCACACAAAATTATAAAAATACTTTTTATTTTAGTATTTCGGCGTAAAGTATTATATTTTGATATTGTATATGTAATTCGGTTAAAAATAATTTGATTTGGTATAAAAAATATTGGATTATATTGTATATCGTTCCAAATTTTTTGGTTTATTTTTCGATACCATACCAAAAAATTGGTATTTAATACAATAATACTAATATTTTTTATTTTCTGTATATATTAAAAATGTCAAATTGTATATTGCTACAACACGAAAAATGTTCGGTTGGTACCATGCATATCATAACGAAAATTTATAATTTTTGATATTTTTTATACAGTATACTTGCTATTTCGACAATTTGATATTTTTTCATCAAAAAGTTCGGTACGTAATTATTGATATAATATTGGTATGATAAAATATCAAACTAAAAAATTTTGATACGGTGTACTATATACAATATAAAATTTGGTATATCATGAGAATCATTCCTACCAATAACTAAATTCGAAAATTTTAATGTATCGTTTTGCTTAAAATTTTTATAGTTACAATTTTTATTGTATTAATTAAATTTAAATAATTAAAACCAATTTATTTTTTATTATCTAATTGCTCATATCAATTTATAATCAATACAAAAATTATTTTATAAAATAATTTCAGTAAATATAATATTCAATATTAAAATAAATAAAGAGACAACAAGTGAGGCGTACCCATTTATTTCTCCAGTGTCTTTTTCAAGTAATCGAACTAACCTTATCTTAATCGGATTCTGGTCCCATTCTCATTTTTCATTCCCAAATATCTAAACTGACTCACCAAAGCAACTCATTAAAAAGGACAAACCAATGTAGTGACATCCTTTGATTATTTATTTATTTATTTATTTTATTATTATTAGTCCACTGCCCACTATTAAATTTTGTTTATACAATAATTTTAAAGTTTTTTTGTACAATCAAGAAAACATATAAGAACGTCAAATTTGTTAATTTAGTTCAAGATGATTTACATTTGGGGACGGTGTGTTTCTTTTGATGATTAACACTTAACTCTGTGTTTCTTTTGATAATTTTGGAAAAAAATTGATTTAAATTTGATATATAAATAATATTTGATGAGATATTTTGTGAGAAGAAAAAATATATTTTTTTAAAAAAAATATAGAGTCTAAATAATAAGATTTGAAAAAATTGCAGTAAAGAAACAAACCTTTACATGTGCATCGCTTAATTGTTTTTAACTTGAACTTTATAGCACATCAATTTTGATACTATTCAATTTATTTAAAATATTATATTTTTTTTGTCATTTAAATTTGTGTTCATTTGATTGAATAGTTGTACGATATGATATAAATAAGAATTGATGTGATATTTAAATATAAAATTGATTTTTAGTATAATATAAAAAATAAAAAATAAATATTTGATTTGATGTTTTTGGAGAGAAAATTTTGTGGGAATAGCAGAAATCCCACAAAATCCCTCAAACAAACACACCCTAAAAGTAAGTAATAATTTTTTTTATAAAAATTATTAAAAAATAAAAATAATTTTATATGAAAATAATGAAAATAATTTTCTTTTATAGTAAAAAAATTATAAAAATTATTAAAAAAATAAAAATAATTTTATATGATAAAAAATATATATATAAATTTGAACGACCAAAAAGTATAGGATACAATTTTTTTAGTATTTTTTTTATAACTTAAAACGTTAATAGGTCTTAAAAAATGTGTCGAAACGAACCTTGAGCCTCTCTCGCATACATGATTCTTATTTAAAATTCCAAGTGGCTGTCTAGAAACTCTGCTCTAGTGGATAAGTCTTGCCATTCAAATGGAATAAGGATAAGCACTAAATAGCCACGTGTACCTTCCCATGTCAACATCCCACGGTCAGATCTCGCAGGACCACATGCACCCGCGTAGCATCGGAACAAGAACCGCCCACAGTCTCCCTAGTGTATTCGAATATTATAAGTTGTGATCTTTCTATGAATTTTATCGTATATTTTTATTATTAATATTTTTTTCTTTAAAAAAATTATATTAAATATTTTTTTTTATATTATATTATAAATTTATTTTACGATTAAAAATATGGTATCAATTTTTATTTATATCACATTAAATAATTATTAAATTTAATATTTTATTATTCAAAAATTTTAACCCAAAAATTAAAAACCAAGTAGCTTTATGTACACAATACACTTTCACTCAAGTTATTCATTCTTTAAAAAATACCATATCAAATATATTTTTTTTCACAAAATATCAAATTAAATACTTAATCTTTTTATCTTTTACAAATTTTCAAATTTCCAAATACCTCCGTAACTCTCGATCTAAACAATAGAGTTTTTATACTCTCTCCGTCCCACATAATTTGTCCCTATTTTTTATTTTTGTCCGCTCAGCATAATTTGTCCTTTTTATTTTTGGAAATATAATTATGCATTTTAATAGTATTTTAAATTTTAAATTTTATAATTTTTTTAATTTTAATTAAATTATTTACTTATTTTAATTTTAATTTATAATTATTTTTATTAAATAATAATTATTTTTATTAAGATATTTTTTAATTATTTACTAATTATCCTTTACCTAAATGATCGTGTTAATAGACTCGTGGGACGGAGGGGGTATCTTTGTATATTATATTGCCTTGCCTACAGTGTTTGGCATTATTGGGGGCCAGACTTGAATTTCATTTCAAAGTGCCATTTGTTTTTATTATTTGTGAAACTGTGGGTGGATCACTGAGTGGAAAAAGCCATACACACACATACATACATAGCAGAAAGACAGAAAAGAAAGAAAGAAAGAATCAGAAGAGAGAGAGAGAAGATGGGTGTGGAGGAGAGCGAAAGCCCGACGAGCCCAGAGGCCAAGTTTGGGAGGCAGGTTGAGGATTTGTGGGATGTTCAGGAGCCTCAGCTCAGCCCTACTGAGAAATTGAATGCCTGTTTCGAGAGTATTCCTGTCTCTGCTTTCCCCCTCGCTGCTCCATCACAAGGTAACACTACTCTCTCTCTTTCTTTCTCTCTCTCTCTCTCTAATCCTCTTTGGTTTCTTTTTTCTTTTTTTTGTTAATTTGATTCTTGATTCAGTTTTCACTTAGTTGGTTATCAGAGTTTTGTTATGATCGAAACTTTTTGGCTGTTCGAATTCTGGAAAGTTTTTTTTATCAATCTGTCGTCAGGTAATCGGATTGAGTAATTGTTTGATGAGTAGAGAACATGAATGAATTGGATGATATTCAGAGGTCTATTTCTTTGCTAAGAGAGCTGACATAGGAAGAGTTTAGGAGTGTCGTAATCAAACTATTTATGATGTTTTCATTTTAAAAGATTTTATAGGTAAAAAAGAACTTATCAATAACAGGGATTTTAATAAAAGATAGATATTAGATCGCTATATATTTAATAGAAGGAACATATTAGAGGTGATATTTGTTAAGAGGTAAAAATTATTCTATCGAAGATGGCATAGGCCAAACAAGAATGGAAACACAAATAACAATGGTCATGGAGCTTTTGATCCGGTCAAATAAGTATGGTGGTGCTGATATGACTGAATTAGTATATGTCATTGGGTGACCAAAATATATTTATAAATATCTCTAACATATTTATAATATTATTATAATTCATCCTATACTATCACTATAAGAAAATATTATTTTTATAACAAGATTTTTTCGTCTTTAAATTCACTTTTTCCGTTACTAATGGTATTAGAGACGGAATTAATGATGGAATTACGTCAGCTACGTGATCTTTAGGGTAACGTCCAAAATGCCTATACGAACTCAATTTATTATTTCGGTCTAAAAATGTGATTTAGGGACGGAATTTCGTTATAAATATACTTATTTTTTTGTAGTGTATCTTATAACAAAGTATATGTTGTAGCATAGACTGATCCCGTCAAATTATAACCTTGCTAACTTTGTCTGATCAGTATAGTATAGTATCTGTGGTCGATAAAAATACAACCTTTCTTTTATTGACTTTATTGTTAAAATAAATACTCCATTTTTTAGTTTGTACCAAGGTCGTCTATTTTTTTTTGCTACACAAAAATTTATAGTTTATTTTCTATTTTAGTAAAAGTAATTATATACTCGTATCAAATGATCTTTAACTTTGACTTATTTACAAATATATTATTACATATACAATTTTTAATTTATTATGAAAAAGCAAATGGCTCCGTTGGATTGGATTGGAACGGAACGGAGGGAGTACATCCTTTGTTTTATGATGTGAAAATCCACAGGGCACGAAGTCGTGTTAAAGCACAGTAGTGTGCAAATTAGGCCAACAAAGTAAAACATACTAAGGCGGACAAGACAAATTGAGGACATCGATCTTGCGGTCACAAATCCACCTATCAAACCAATTCAGTCGCCGTTTGCGATGTCTAGTGCGTGCTCGGTTAATTTCTTTTATGTTGATTGTGTGATTAGTGGTGTCTCAGTTAAATTTTGTGTCGAATTTTCGCTGCAAGCGATATCTCCAAGAGATGTAGGCAAGAATAAATTGGAGCTTCTAACATGAATCTATTAACGATAGCTGTAAAAGAATTCTACTCGAATAAATACCATCATTTATGGCGTACTTATATGTGTAATAGAAACATAGCCATTGGATGTCTCAATCCCATAATTATCGTTGTTCTTGCATGCAGTGATCGAAATAACATCAGACACAAGCCTGGCTGAAGCCGTCAAGCTACTTGCCCGGCACAGAATACTCAGCGCTCCGGTGGTGGACGTCAAGGCACCTGAGGACGCCACCTGGATCGACAGATACATAGGCGTCGTCGAGTTTGCTGGAATTGTTGTCTGGATCTTACATCAGGTTGGTTTCGCTTGTCCGAAACCCAGGCTGTTGTTCTTATTCTATTCACACAACTGACCAATAGCTTTTCCTGCAGTCGGAAAAGATAGAAGGGCAATCTCCATTCGACGCTGCGATGAACATCTCCGAGCACGACATGGGACCCGCCGTCGCAGCAGTAGCTAACGGAATATCTTCTCCGAGGTTTAAGAGCATGCATCCCGACTCTCCAACAGCCACTTGCGGAAAATTTTTCGAAACTCTTACAGCCTCCGACTTGTACAAAAATACAAAGGTTCTTCTTCTCTTACAGCTGACCGTAATGTAACGATTTGTATTATTAAACAAAGTCCTCGCTCTTTGTCGGACAAACAGGTTGGAGATATTTCCGGATGCTTTCGCTGGGCCCCGTTTCTCGCGCTGCAGAAAGCCAACTCGTTTTTAACGATGCTATTGCTTCTGTCGAAGTACAGAATGAAGAGCGTTCCCGTAGTCGACTTAGGAGAAGCGAAGGTCGACAACATCATCACTCAAAGCTCGGTTATTCACATGTTGAAAGAATGTTCCGGGCTTCATTGGTTCGAAAGCTGGGGCTCTAAAAAGCTTTGCGAACTCGGGTTGCCTTTGATGAAACCGAACCACATCATAAAGGTAATCGATCTCATGAACTTTTATAATTAACTTGTGGCATTGAATATGAACTGCTTTGGAGTCTTCCGGCGCATTTTGAGCCAAATCACGATTAGTTAAGATTGTAATAATCGGGTTTTGCAGGTGTATGAAGATGACCCGGTGCTGCAGGCATTCAGGCTAATGAGAGAGAATGGAGTTGGGGGCGTGCCCGTCGTTGCAAGTGACGGGAATAAGGCAGTCGGTAATATAAGTATCCGCGATATCCAATTCCTTCTCATGGCACCCGATCTCTACAAGGAATACAGGTCCGTCGAAAACCTTTCTTCGCTTCATTTAACTAGCATTAAGACACCATCATTTATTTATGTTTCAAAATTACGTAAATTCTATAAAGAAAACAATACGACGTTTAAATATGCAATCTTAATTACCGAAACATAAGGTCGTAAACGGGTTCATATGAGTTGAATTGTGAAGAGTGTGTGTTGGCATATGCCATATATAGCGTTAAGATTTCAACTTCATATACTCCCTCATTCTCGATTCAAAATATTTTTTTTTACTATTTTTGTCTATTTCATTTTTTTTCTTATTTTAGTAAAAGTAATCATATACTAATAGAAAAATACTATTAACTTTTATTTAAATTATAAATATACAATTACATATACAATTATTTTATATATAAAGTCAAAAAATAATAATGTCTAAACTTATTACAGACTTTCATTTTCAATGACAAATAAAAACTACTTCTTCTGTCATTCAAATTTATTTTTATTTTTCCTTTTGGTTTTTCATCTAAATTTATTCTCGTTTCTTTTTTAATAGTTAGTACTGCTTTTTCTACTTATTTTTTTTACCAAAAAAAATAAAAGTCTATATTTTTTCCTATTTTTTTAAAAATTTGTGTCCTGTCAAATGAGCACAACGGGGAGAATATAATTTGTTAATGTACTACAAAATTCCAAAGGGTTACATTCTAGTAGGACGGAGGGAGTATATTGTAATTTTTATTCGATATAGTAAAATTTTTTGTTTTGCAGGTAATCAAATTGTTCTGAGCTTTATATTGTTTTACCTTAGATCCTTTGATATTTATATAATATAATATATATATGTGTGTGTTAATAGATCAATTACGGCGAAAAACTTTTTGACGGTGGTTGCAAGCTACCAAGAGAAACATCGGAGTGCAGCGCCATTTCCGAGCAAAATGGTCACATGCCGGAGGGACGACACTTTAAAGGATGCTATTGCAAAGCTGGATTCGATGAAGATCCACCGCATATACGTCGTGGATGAGTCGGGGAACCTCGAGGGAGTTGTGACTCTGAGAGACATAATCTCGAAGCTGGTGCACGAGCCTCGCGGCTACTTCGGAGACTTCTTCGACGGGGTGTTGCCGCTGCCGGCCAACAGCAGGGTCTAAGGACAGCCAGCCTGTGCGTGCTCCATATTAGCCGGATCGAGTCTAGTCGGGTCGGGTCGAGTTGTTGGGCTTTTCCGAAGGTGATTTGTAGAGTTGATGGGAATAAAATGGAGGGGGATTTGAAGAGGAATAAGGAAAGACTCGAACATGAGATATTGTTCCTTTGTAATATATATATAGTTGTAATATGTATAGGTTTATGGTTTGGTTATAGCCTTTTGTGGCAAACTTTGTTGTAGGATCAAGAAATGGAACGAGTGTTCTGCATTTGTGCGACTGCCTCCTGCTCCTTGGCAACTTTTGTTTATTTGACTATTAACTTAGTGTTGCGAAAAATGGGTTACTTTCGCACAAACTTTGAAATATCATATCCAATGAATATTAAAGAAAATTTTCTAAGTAATCGGAAAAGATACAAAGTTCATTTAAAATTCAATGTTCTTTAAATCTTTTGTAATTTTTTTGAAAGAATTTTTTCCGCTAAATTAAAGCATAATAAATAATTGTAAATATAAAAATCAAAGCAACATCAAATTTAACCAGGTTCGACAAAATCATGTCTATATTCTCGGAGAATCAGATAGATTCATATCTGAAAGAGGTTGACAATAAGTTCTTTCAAAATGGACTATTTGTCCCTCTGTTAGAGGTGTTCCAGAAATGTCTGCGATCGAGTAAATAGTTCTACGCAACTAAAATTATATAATGAGAGAAGATAAGAAATACAACACAATTAGAATATAAAGATTGTGTTGCGGGATGAATCGAAACCACGGGCAGGGGATCAATACACTACAAAAAAAAATTGAAAATTGCAATGGAATATTGCCAACGAATACAATCTATTGCAAAATTGCAACGGAACTTGTTAGGCAACAATGAAATAGTCTCAATTACTATATTTTGTGAGAGAATACTGCAATAGAATAGATTTGTCACAAATATTTTTCAAATTACACAAGGAATATAATATTCCGTTGCAAAATTGCGACGAAATAGCAATATATTAAATTTGTTGCAGATTTCCCAAAAATTATGCAACGAATAAAATATTCCGTTGCAAAATTACTATGGAAATAGCAATAGATTAAATTTGTTGCAAATTTCCCAAAAATTATGCAACGAATAAAATATTCCGTTGCAAAATTACTATGGAAATAGCAATAGATTAAATTTGTTGCAAATTTCCCAAAAATTATGCAACGAATACAATATTCCGTTGCAAAATTAATATGGAAATAGCAATAGATTAAATATGTTGCAGATTTTCCAAAAATTATGCAACAAATATAATATTTCGTTGCAAAATTGCGACAGAAATAACAACAAATTAAATTTGTTGCAGAGTTCAAATAAAAAAAAATTAATTTTATAAATAATTTAATAATTATTATTTTTTAAATTTTAAATTTAATTTTTAATAATTAATTTTATTTATTTATTAAATAATTTTTATTTTTAATTTTTTATATATTTTTTATTAATTAAATTGTTACAATATAAAAATAATTAAAATAATAAATATAGTAAATAATTAAATTATAAAAATATTGTAATAGATAATAAAATAATTTAAATTATATAGGGTAAACTGTTTTTTAGTCCCGTGGACTCTCTTATCATTTTAGTTCCATAAGTGGAGCATGTCACAAACTAGTCCTATAAGTGAAAAATTTTCGTTGTTTTAGTCCTCCGGCGCCGGAGACGCCCGCGTGGCTCGCCGGAGGTGACGTGTCCGCCAGATGTCCCGTCAGGTCAGCGACACCTGGCGGACACGTAGATTTATTTATTTTTTTAATTTTTTTTAATTGGACCAAATAAAAAAATAAAAAAAATGCAAATAAAATTAAAAATAAGTTTTAAAAAAAAATTTAAAACATGAAAAAAAAAAATCTACGTGTCTGCCAGGTGTCACTGACCTAGCGGACACGTCACCTCCGGCGAGCCACGCGGGCGTCTCCGGCGTCGGAGGACTAAAACAACAAAAATTTTTCACTTATGAAACTAGTTTGCGACAGGCTCCACTTACGAGACTAAAATGATAAATGAGTCCAGTTACGGGACTAAAAAAACAGTTTACCCAATTATATAATAAAAAATTATAAAATATAAAATATAAATAAAAAAATATTAATGGTATTATTATTTTTTATATTATTAATAATTATTTATATTTATTAATATTATTATTATTATATTTTAAATTTTAATTATAAATATAATGATATTATTATAAAATATACACAATCTAACCGTATCCACACTCCACAGACGCCGCAGCCGCCCTCGCACACAGGTTCTTCTCTTCCTTCCGATGCCGCAGCCGCGCCTGCGCCCGCACACGCAGGTTCTCCCTCTTCCTTCCTTCTTCCTCCCATCCCATTCCTTTCCTTTCTCCACCTTTCCTCCTTATTTCTTCTTCTTCTGCTGCGCGCCTGCCTGCCTCTGCCATGGTGAGAGATTATAAAAAAAAAAAAAAAAAGCCTTTCTTATGTACGTACGTCTCTTCGTGATGGAAGCTGCCGGATTGTTCTTGAGCGTCGTCCCCAAACCAATTGCTGCCGACGACAATAAATCACATTGTGCGGCCGGTCTCGGTTCAACGTATAGGCGCCTGTCTTTCGCAGCATCTAATATAGGTAGGAATGGCGTCAGTTTCCCATTGTTGAGGCGTCGTTCTGGATTTGAATCTCACAGGCAAAGGTCATTGATCGTGTCTCCGAAGGCCGTGTCCGATTCCCAGAATTCGCAGACTTGCCTCGATCCAGCAGCGGACAAGGTAGTTAATCCATTCTGTGATTATTCATTCGCTGTTTAATTGTGAGTGTGCATAAAACTTACTGTCTTCGTTGATGTTCTTTTTTTTTTTTTTTGGCATGGACGGTTTTATATGGAAATTGGGAGAATGTAAAAATGAAAATGAATCTTATGGATCTGCGCGTATTGTTTCATGTGTCATTTGAACATTTGTTTTAATTCAAAGTTATATCAGTGTTTTGCCATGGATCTATAGTTTTCTCTCTCGATATGCAACAATTATTCAGAATACATCATGTTCAAACAAAGTTATACGATTAACTGTAGCGCTCTACATTTGGCAGAACCAAAGCTTGCAGTGCACTTTCAAAGCTTTACATCTGTTAATATTACCGTTCATATCTGCAATATTAATATGTAGTTGTTTGGTCACAGATTTAACAAAATTGGTGGGAAATGAATTAATGTTTATAACTTTGTTTTGAGGATCATTGATTAATTTTATAGAAAGAACGAGTGGGCTGCAATGGAAGATAATACCCAATTAGTTTGTTCATAGTAACAAACATTCTGTAGATTTCACCGAATATTCCTTTACTTATCAGAATCTGTGAAAGTCTGATATATTTGAGGACTACTCAGGTCTTATATATAATCTGGATCAATAATTCTCTTTCCTTGTTCTTGATCAGAGTGTCTTGGGAATTATTCTAGGAGGTGGAGCTGGTACTAGACTTTATCCTCTCACAAAGAAGAGGGCAAAGCCGGCAATTCCTCGTGGAGCTGGTACTACCTTTCAAGGGCATATGCAAGTAACATGGGCGGTTACAAGAATGAAGGCTTTGTTGAGGTTTTTGCAGCTCAACAGAGTCCAGAAAATCCAAATTGGTTCCAGGTACCTTTCATTAATCCAGTATTCTTGAAGTTTCCTCACCCATAAATGACAAAGTAGGTGTATAACAGTCCCCATAGCTAAACCTCTTGTTCTGTTTTTGTTTAGCTTAAATATTTCTTTAGATTTTTTTGCGTTTTTGTGGATTATCTACCAATTGTTTATATTTAATTTCATTTCCAGGGTACAGCAGATGCTGTAAGGCAATATTTATGGCTGTTTGAAGAGCACAATGTTCTTGAGTTCCTCATTCTTGCCGGAGATCATTTGTACAGAATGGACTATGAGAAATTCATTCAGGCCCACAGAGAAACAGACACTGATATCAGTGTTGCTGCATTGCCTATGGATGAAAAACGTGCCTCAGCATTTGGACTAATGAAAATCGATGAAGAGGGACGGATTATTGAATTTGCAGAGAAACCAAATAGAGAACAGTTAAAAGCTATGCAGGTTGCTATGCTGTCTAGTAAATAATAGATTGAGGGTTCAAAGTTTGCTACGAAATTATCCATCTTTATTCGCCTAATGGCTTGGTTTCGCAGGTCGATACTTACCATCTTGGGACTTGATGATACTAGAGCAAAGGAGATGCCATACATTGTAAGTATGGGAATATATGTTATCAGCAAAGATGTGATGATAAATCTTCTCCGAGACAAGTTTCCTCCGTCTAATGATTTCGGAAGTGAAGTTATTCCTGGAGCTACAGCCAGCGGACTAAGAGTATGTAACTCAAATATGTGTTTCCATCCTTCTTTACATCAAACACTACCACTTTTGATAATCTTTAGACCAGTTGGGAGCTAATTTATGTCTTCTATGTAGGTGCAAGCTTACTTGTTCAATGGCTACTAGGAAGATATTGGTACCATTGAAGCTTTCTGCAATGCTAATCTAGGGATCACGAAAAAGCCTGTGCCAGATTTCATGTAAGAATTTCCTTTCTTAATCTGCCTTTTCTGTTCCATTACGATAGGCTGTGCCACTAATAATGTCTCTAATCATAGAACATTGAAATACCTTATGTTGCCACTTGCTTCTTGTAGCTTCTACGATCGATCTGCTCCAATCTACACCCAGCCTAGGTACCTACCTCCTTCGAAAATGCTGGATGCAGATGTCACAGATAGTGTCATTGGTGACGGCTGTGTGAGCACCATCCATTCATAGGCCCGAACCCGATTCAGGTGGTGGTAGTGCTCCGATATCATGATATTTTATCATTACAAGTGTTTTACTTACGACCTTAGTTGTTTTTGTATGATATTATGGTAACTTGAATTAGATTTATACATTTTTCTGATATGTGCTACTTGCGGTACTCATTCTAAATACATTGTGTTTTTGGTCTATTGATAGTTATATGATTTCAACTAGTTCTTGTATCTTTGAGAAGATATATTAATCGAATCATTAAATTTATTGATTATGGAGGATTGGATTCATATTTTTGAGATAGATATTGAAAAAAAAAAATTGACTAAAAATTGCGACCGAATTAGCAATAGTTATATTCTCTCGCAATTTGCTATTGTATTTGCAACGGATCTTGCAACATATATATTCTTTTTTAAAATGCGTTGCAAAAACTTGCAACAGAATTAGCCACTGATCTTTTCAATTACATTGCACTATGATAACAATATGTTTCTTTAGTAAAATTCCGTAACAAAAGATTGCTATAGAAATGACTATCCCTAATTCTATTGCAATTATCTGCAACGGAAAATTTTAATTGTCGCATTGGGTTACTACAATAATATTTACTACAACTTCCACTTGGTCGCAAATTCCGTTGTAATTGAACGTTATGACCGAAATTTTGTCAGTTGTGACGGAATTTTTTCGTAGTAATTTGTAATTTTTTTTGTAGTGATATAAGCGCAATTCATCCCCAATTCAATTCCGTAGGCGACGTGGGATGCAGGTGTAGCCACAAAGATTGACTTTTCCAACAAATCTCCACTTTGACGACCTCCAAATCCCATCCATAGTATTTTTTACAAAACTCTCCCAATGTAAAATTTGGGTGGGCCTCCAAACGTGCTTTTCAGCGCTAACTTCAAACTCTTAAAATATTTATCAAGTTCAAACCATGTTTGAACTTGATACACCTTATACATTTTTTTAACATACCTGCAGGATTATCCGTGGTCTTAATCTTTTGCACCTTGACTCCACATTTCTTTAATTATTTTTCGCACAAAATGGTACCACACATCGATATGTTATGTTCTAGCAAAATATATCTGATTCTTTGCTAAGTGAATGGCACTTTGACCGTCACAAAACACACCCAAACAATCCCTGTAACCAATTGCTTCCTTGACAGCCTTAGTGATGGTCATGTATTGTGCCTCTATTGTTGATAAAGCAACAGTAGAATATAAGGTAGACTTCCAACTAACTGGTGTGTTTGCAAGAGTAAACACATAGCCAATAGTTGATCGTTGTTTATCCAAATATATTGCATAGTTTGAATCGTAGTACCCAACTATATGTTGACCACTACCATTATTTCTTTGAAACACTAATCCAAAATCTAAGGGTTTTAAGATATACCTTTGAATTCATTCCACGGCCTGCAGTAACATGTCATCTGCATAGAGCAGAAAATAAATAAGTGATACATCAAGTAGTTTACAAAAATACACACAGATCAAACATGCTCATGGTGTACTTCTGGCTGGTTATGAATTAATCAAATCATTTGTACCACTACCTTAAAGATTGTTTCAATTCATACAGCGATTTGCTCAACTTGCATACCCAACCTTCTTTTCCAGCAACTTTAAATCCTTTGGTTCATCACGTAGATTTCTTCCTCCAAATCACCGTATAAGAACGCTATCTTTACATCCATTTAAATTAGTTTCAAGTCGTATTGCACTACCAAGACCAACAAAATAGAAATAGAGAATGTTTTACAATAAGAGGAAGTACCTCATTATAATCAATTATCTCCTTCTGATCATTGTCTTTGGCTACCAATCTTGCCTTGTAGCGTACATCGGTATGATTTGAAAATCCTTCTTTGTAAGTATAGATCCACTTGCAACCAATTATTTTCTTTCCCTTGGAAATTCAGATAACTTCCATGTGTGATTTGTTTTAAGGGACTGCATTTCCTCGTCCATGGCTTTCTTCCACCTTTCTTTTTTTGAAATATTTTCTGCATCGAGAAAAGTTTGTAGTATACCTTCTTCAGTAACAAGAAATGTGTAGGTTACAATAATTTGGAGTCGAGCAGATTTTTGAATTTATTTTCTTGGTCTCCTTACTACAATTGGTAAATCTTATTGTTGTTGAGGTTCTTGGGTTAAAACCTCGCTTTCTCTCGGCTTTTCTCTGGCACATGGATCATCATTTTCCATTTGTTGACCATCTACTGGTTTGGTTATAGGTTCTAGAAACTCCACCTGTTCGAAAGAACTCTCCACCTACGGGGAAGTACCATCCATCTGTGTCTCGGTTGCTCTATTCAACATTGTTGATTGGTTGAAGGTAACATCCATGCTAAGGATTATTTTCTCATCTCAGGGCACCATAGGTGATATCTTTTTACACCATATGATATCCCCACGTTAGATAGCTTTTCTCGTCCTTGGATTCAGCTTTGATTCTTTTACGTGATAATATGCACTAGATCCAAACACACATAAAGAATCATAATCAGTAGCAAGTTTGCCAAACCATATCTTCAAAGGTGTTTTGCCTTTAAGCATATCTGATTATAGTCGATTGATCAGATGGTTTGCATATGTGACCGCTTTAACCCAAAATTATTTGCCCAAATTAGCATTAGACATTATACACCGAACTTTCTCCAGCAAGGTCTAGTTCATGCGCTTGGCCATCCTATTTTGGTGTGGAGTGTAGGGATGACATACCATACCGTATCGAAATTTTGTGCCCATATCGCATATCGTACCGAAAACATCGGTATGGTAGAAATATATACCGAAACTGTACCAAAACATTTGATATACCGAACATTGGTATACCAAAAATTTTGGTATTGTACCGATATATACCATTTATACCAAAATTTAAATATTTAGAAATTATAGTATGTAGTAGAATTTCGTCGTCGGATTTAGAATTTCTCGAACCCCAAATCGGCTTACAGGCACTGCCATTTACTTCCACCTAATGAAAAGCTACATTTTTTTTTATTTCCAATAGTTGTTTCAGGAGGCAGACGAGACCATACGGCTAGGGTGAAGATAAGACGATGAAGGAAGAAAAAGAAAGAATAGAAGTGGAAGTAAGGAAGAAAGAATGAAAAGACCGATAGTAGGGGAAGAATAAAAAGATGGGAGAAGAGAAGAAGGAAAAGAAAGAGGGAAAGAGAAGAGGAAAACAATGGGCAGTGAAAAAGTAAAAAAAAAAAAAAAATGAAGGGAAAAAAATAAATATGAAGAAATTATTGACAAGGCAGCGACGGCGTGTGAATGAATGTGACTAGGGCATTTTACATTTTTTTTATATTTCTTATTATTTTATATTAATAATAAAATTATTTAACTAAAATATTATCAATATGGTATGATACCGAAATACCGATCTTTTTGAAAATTTATACCGATATCGTACCGAAATTTTTGTTATGGTATCGATATTGTACCGAAAATTTTTGTATACTGAATTTTTTTATATTTTCGGCATGATAAGGTACGGTAAATCGGTATTTCGGCATTTTCAGTAGGTTTGTCCATTCCTAGTGCAGTGTCCCTACTGTGAAATGTGGGTGATACCTTCCTTCTTGCAAATATCAAAAAAAGGTAATTCAAGATTCCGTACCATTGTCCAATCGAGACCCTTTAATCTCTCTCCTAGTCTGGTTCTCTATTGTTTTCTTCCAATCGAGGAATTTTATGAAAGCTTCGTCTTTAGTTCACATAGGAATACCCATATTCTCCTAGAAAAATCATCAACAAATGTTATAAAATAATGGTTGCCTCACAGAGAAGCTGTCTTGGTTGGTCCCCACACGTCTGAGTGAATGTAACCCATAATGCCTTTAGTGTTATGGATTTTTGTTCCAAACGTCACCCGCGTTTGCTTTTCCAGAACATAGTGCTCGCAAAAATCAAGTTTCCATATCTTTGCACCCTTTAATAATCCTTGTTTTGTTAAAGTCTACAAGGATTTTTCCCTAGCATGTCCAAGCCTCACGTGCCAGATCTTGGTCATCTTCTCTTATTTATTTGTTTCTGATACTGCTCATGCTATGGCAATTGTTGTGTTGGCTTGGAAGTGATACATGATATTTTTCCTTATACCTTTCATGATGACAAGTGCTCCTGAGATCACTTTTAGTATCTCATTCTGAATGCTGATAGAATGGCCTTTAAATTACAGGACTCCTACTTATATGAGATTTTTGGCAAATTTCGGTATGTACCGAATCTTGTCAGCACTCTGATTGTTCCATCGTTGTTCTTAAGATAGACAAGCAACTCCAACTATTTGGCAATGTTGATTGTCAGTGAGTTAGACAACTCCACCATCAACGTTTTCAAAGTTGATAAACCACTACTTCTTAGAGCACATGTGGAATGAACATCCTGAGTTAAGATACCAATTGTCATTGCAGCTTACCAATGAGGTACAAGCTAATGAATAGTATGTTTTATCATTATCAGCAACACATGCTTCAGCTATTGCTTTTCTCTTTTTCTTTTGCAGTTTGGAGCAGTCTTTCTTCCAGTGTCATTTCTCGTGGCAAAAAACACATTCATCTTTTGCTACTCTGCCTCTTACTAGGATCTGTCTCTTCTCACCGACTTGTATTTTTTGTTACGACACCGGAAAAAGTGCGCTTCACCAGTCGAACTCCTGTGTTGTAACTTATTTTTCTTTCTGATCTTGTTAGAATACAAAACATTAGTAACTTCCTTAAAAGAAATTGTTTCTTTCCTGGTCAGCATACTAATAATTATATGTTCATATTCATCGGGAAGTGAAGCTAGCAATATCAATATCTTATCAATGTTATCTATATTCTCATCCAGATTTGGCAAATTAGTAACTAGAGAATCAAATTTAGTTGTGTTCGTTCATGGTGGTACTTGACAAATATTGGAAGCGATACAACTTTGTCTTCATGTAGAGCTTGTTTATGTGCTAGTTTTCACGAATTTGTTCCAGTTCTTTACATAATTTGTGCATCATTGTCTCTCTCATAAATGGATACTTTTGTCCTTGAAGAGACATAGCCGGACTGTACCACACGCCAAGCGGTTGATCCTCATCCATTCTTTATCATCAATATTCTCCGGTTTGTTCTCTTCGAGTGCTCCACCAAGCTCTTGTTGGAACAAAATGTCCAAAACTTCGCATTGCCACTTATCAAAATTATTGGTACTTTCGAATGCTTTTTACATAAAATTTGGCATTTGTGACCATTGTTCTTGATGACGATGTCACCAGTGACTTAGAATCTGAAAGTTGATTTTCCACCGAAATTTACCGTCATTTCTACTCCAGAGTTTGATTAGAAAAATTACACAATAAATGTATCTTAATTGAGACGCTTTTTTTATGTGGTTGTGACCACAGAGCATACTAAGCAATTAAAAATTTGATACCAATTGTTGCTATAACTGGATTAGCCCCGTACAAACAGCGAAACACCACACCCAATTTCTTTAAACCGTGTAGTCTTTTTGATAGAATTTTCCCGGCATAATTAAAGCACAATAAATAGCCGAAAATATAAAAATCAAAACACCAGAAAAAAATAAAAATACCAAATTTAGCGAGATTTGAAAAAATTATGCCTACATCCTCAAACTCCAACCAAAATTATATTACGAGAAAAGATAAAAAGTACAATACAATAAAAATATAAAGATTGTGTTGCGGGAGAATTGAAACCACAAGCAAAAAATCATTATATAGGCACAATTCATCCCAATTTAATTCCGTACAGCCACAAAGATTGACTTTCAACACATAGCCAAATACAAGTCAATCCCAAATTAACAACATCCAAATCAATTCAATCCAATCCAAATTAATTATTTTACAATTATTGGGACAACAATACATTTAAAAGAAGTAGAATATGTTCCATTTTTTTTTAAAAAATACAAAATTCTCCGCATTCTTTCGTTATCTATGTTTAGGTAATCCTTAGCCCCACTATGCTCTGCGTAGCAGTTATTTTAAATCTCTCGGTAATAGAATTAATATTTGAAAATGATAATTAACCCAAATTACAAGATAAATTACAATTTACCTAAATATATGTTAATGGCAAGCATAACTAAATGTTCTACTCCTTTTGTCTTGAATATTTTATAATATTTTTATTTTAACATATTTCAAATATTCTGCAATATTATTAAAATAAAAAATAATTAAATACTTAGCTTCTACACCATATTTTATCAACCACATTACTCAAATAAAAATAAATAAATAAATATAAAATTCTCTCCCATCATATTACTTTATTTTCAAATTATCATAGCTAATATATTATTCACTTAAATTCTCGTGACGAAAATAAATATTGCACAATATTTAGGAAAAAATGACTATTTGTTAATTGTTACCATCATTATTACCATCATCATCATCATTATTATTATTATTATTATTATTATTATTATTATTATTATCCAAAACTATTTTATCCATAGATTCTAATAAAGTATATCTTTTTCATTAAATATAAATAAAATTAATATTATACAAAATCAGACAACATACTCAAGTTCAAACCAAAAAAAAGTTGCATATACTAATAAATAGATTTGTTTAGTTATGATTTGAAATTGATTGTTGGTTTGGGTTTTGATGATATTTTATAATTTGTATTTTAAT